AGACTTGGGAGTTGAGAGAAATTAATAAATGCTAAGATTTTTTTTTTTAAATAAAAAAATCAAGAAATTTAGATTGGGAGATTGGAGCTCCCATGAGACTTGGGGTTAAAAACCCCCTTTTGCTTAATATATAGTATAGATACTTATTTATTTATTTTTATATACACAGATTCGAGTTGATGAAGGCTTTATAAATATCTGATTAACTTGATTTTTTACAGATATGTTCTACTCGACGTTCTTTAAAAATTGAACGATTCGGATGATGAAGATAAAGTCTGAAATAATTCTCAAAAACTGCACAACTTCTTATATATTCTCCTCAGACAATATCAAATTCAAACAATCAGCCTAAGATCTCATGCCAGGGAACAACACCACCATCAAATTCAATAAAACCTCCTAGTGTCAGCCATAGTTATCCACTGAACCAAAAAGATTGACCTCTACTCTATCTATCAAAAGGTTTCAAATGGGGCACGTGGTCCAAAAAAAAGGTGGAAATAGAAACCCAAAATAGGGGCAGCATATATGGTCCTTGACCATTTTGCTTTGGTTTGAATTGTGAAAGAAAACCAACATCGATACCTCTAGTCTTTATGAATCCTCTTTACTGTTTAGTTTCTTTAGTTTTATCATTTTCTATTTTTGGTGAAAATTAGTTTTAACATTTTCAAAAATGGGCCTTGCAGTGTTGTTGTGTAGTGTGTGGTATCTAATAAATTAATTAAAAACTTAGTACCAGAAAATTAAATGTGTAAATAAATGGAAAGGAAACTGTGATACCTGACGTGACTGCTCTGATAAAAGTGTGTGTGTGTGTGTGAGAGAGAGAGAGAGAGAGATAGAGCAAATGTGTTGGTTTGTGTCTTGTATTTTTTTTTTTTTGGAACCATTATAAGGAACAAAAATGCTGAAAACGACTCTCCCTCTCTCTCTCTCACAATTTTATATATGCAGTTATTGCTCCCAACTTCATATTACATCAATATATGCAGTTATTGCTCCAATTTACATCAGAATATGAAAAAGTTTATTCACCCCAAAAAGAATATGAAAACGTGATTGTGTATCAGTTAAGTAATAATAATAATAAAATTTAATAAACCCAAGGTCCCAAGCAATTCTCATTCCTCTCATCTATTTACATTTTTTTTTTATAAAAAAAATGAGACTTGACCTGAACACCAAATCTAGTGCCTTCACTTAATAATAGTACTAGCATATCACCTGTGCTATGCACGGATTGTGTTTACAATTATCTATATATGTGAATTGCGATTTTTAAATGTCTTCTTTTTTTTCTCTTTTTATATTATATTAAAGTTTATTATTTTGATAATAATCATATGTGTTAGACTTTTCAAGGAATTAAATGTCTTTTTTTTTATTATATTATATTAAAGTTTAATATTTTGATAATAATCATATGTGTTGGATTTTTCAAGAAATTTTTTTTTATACTTTTTCTTAATGCATTAAAGTGTTATTATGAGAGATAATAGTCATATGTGTTGGGACTTTTAAAGGAATTCATGTGTTGGATTTCAAATAATTTTTTTTATGCGTGTTCTTAATGCATTAAAGTGTTATTATGAGAGTAAGAATTGAGGGTTGGGAGAAGTTAATAAATGCTAAGGTTTTTTTGTTTTTTTAAATCAAAAAATTAGGAAATTTAGATTGGGAGATTGGAGCTCCCACAAGGCTTGGGGTTAAAAACACCCTTCATCAACTCACATTTGTATTTAATTTAACTAGCCTATCACCCGTACTATGCACGGTATAATTATAGATATTTATATTTTTTTTAATATATAAATTATGTTTTTAAAGATTTTTTATAAAAATAATTTAACAATCTTATCACTAACCATAGTGTATGGGAGAAGTTGAAACGGGTACTGCAGTAATTATGCACGGATTGTATCTATAATTATTTGTATGAGGGGATTTTAAATGCTAATCAAGAATTTTGACCAAATCAATAAATGCAGGCCTGTGGATTGGAAAAAGTTAATAAATGCTGATCAGGGGATTTTGACCAAATTAATAAATGCTGAGGTTTTTTTTTTAAATAAAAAATTTAGAAAATTAAAATTGAGAGATTGGAGCTCTCACAAGGCTTGGGGTTTAGAAACTCCCTTTTTCTTAATATATTTACAATTATCTATATATGTGAATTGTGATTTTTAAATGTCTTCTTTTTTTCCTTTTTTATATTATTATTAAAGTTTATTATTTTGGTAATAATCATATGTATTAGACTTTTCAAGGAATTAAATGTCTTCTTTTTTTTATTATATTATATTAAAGTTTAATATTTTGATAATAATCATATGTGTTGAACTTTCTATAAAAAAAATTTTATGCTCGTTCTTAATGCATTAAAATGTTATTATGAGAGATAATAATCATGTGTTGGGACTTTTCAAGGAATTCATATGTGTTGGATTTCAAATAATTTTTTTTTATGTTTGTTCTTAATGCATTAAAGTGTTATTATGAGGGTAAGATTTGGGAGTTGGGAGAAATTAATAAATGCTATTTTTTTTTTTTTTTTTTTTAAATCAGGAAATTTAGATTGGGAGATTGGAGCTCCCACAAGGCTTGGGGTTAAAAACCCCCTTTCGCTTAATATATAGTATAGATACTTATATATTTATTTTTTATATACACAAATTCGAGTTGATGAAGGGTTTATAAATATCTGATCAACTTGATTTTTTACAGGTATGTTCTACTCGACGTTCTTTAAAAATTGAACGGTTCGGATGATGAAAATAAAGTCCGAAATAATTCTCAAAAACTGCACAACTTCTTATATATTCTCCTCAGACAATATCAAATTCAAACAATCAACCTAAGATCTCATGCCAAGGAACAACACCACCATCAAATTCAATAAAACCTCCTAGTGCCAGCCATAGCTATCCACTGAACCAAAAAGATTGACCTCTACTCTATCTATCAGAAGGTTTCAAATGGGGCACGTAGTCCCAAAAAAAACGGTGGAAATAGAAACCCAAAATAGGGGCACCATATGTGGTCCTTGGCCATTTTGCTTTGGTTTGAATTGTGAAAGAAAACCAACACCCATACCTCTAGTCTTTATGAATCCTCTTTACTGTTTAGTTTCTTTAGTTTTATCATTTTCTTTTTTGGTGAAAATTAGGGGTTGTTTGGGATGATCTAAATAAGTGCACTTTTTGACTTTTTATGAAATATGGGTTGGATTTGGGTTGTGTTTGAAGTGATGTGTTAGAGAGGTGATGTGACTTAAATAAGATGATGTGACTTAAATAGGATAGTGACTTTTTGACTTTTTATCTTTTTTCAATCATGCCAAACTTGGCCTTAGTTTTAACATTTTCAAAAATGGGCCTTGCAGTGTTGTTGTGTAGTGCATGGTATCTAATAAATTAATTAAAAACCTAGTACCAGAAAATTAAATACGTAAATACATGGAAAGGAAACTGTGACACCTGACGTGACTACTCTGATAAAAGTGTGTGTGTGTGAGAGAGAGAGAGCAAATTTTTTTGTGTCTTGTATTTTTTTTTGGAACAATTACAAGGAACAGATCAACACAAGATTTACAAAATTTAACCATTCAGTGATAAATTCATGTCTTCTGTCTTGTATTTTTCTTTTGTCTTGTATTTTTTTTTTTTTGGAACCATTATAAGGAACAGATCAACACAAGATTTACAAAATTTAACCATTCAGTGATAAATTCATGTCTTCTGTCTTGTATTTTTCTTTTGTCTTGTATTTTTTTTTTTTTGGAACCATTATAAGGAACAGATCAACACAAGATTTACAAAATTTAACCATTCAGTGATAAATTCATGTCTTCTGTCTTGTATTTTTCTTTTGTCTTGTATTTTTTTTTTTTTGGAACCATTATAAGGAACAGATCAACACAAGATTTACAAAATTTAACCATTCAGTGATAAATTCATGTCTTCTGTCTTGTATTTTTCTTTTGTCTTGTATTTTTTTTTTTTTGGAACCATTATAAGGAACAGATCAACACAAGATTTACAAAATTTAACCATTCAGTGTGTGAGAACCCGAATATAAAAATTAAGTAAATAATTAAATAATAATATTACAATCTCAAATATTTTGGTGGTGAATTCTAAGGTGCAAATTAAATATTATTGGAGGATCTTTTAATTAATTTTAAACTTAAAATAAATTTATGGTGAAAGTCTTTAATTTAGAGGCAAGATTTATTATATAAAATAAATAAATAAATAAATTTAAGTGCTAAATTAGTAAGCATATTTTGATCTAGTAATAGTTATATTTTATTTAAATTAATGGGTTAGAAAATAAAATAATATTAAGAGATAATAATTTAGGGACTTTTGTTTAGATATATAAAGTAACCCTAGGTTGCCTAATACAATATATAACAACACTAGGATTCCTAATCAACGATGTGATTGTGTTTGTTAGAACAGGTTTTGTTGTCTACACTTAATAGCAAGATTGTGGTGCCGAATGTGTAACAGTTTTGTGCACTTTTCTTATTGAGTGGGAAAAAGAGGAATGTGAATGTGTTTGTGTAAATGATATTGCCAAATTTAATGTGATAAGGAATCTTGATTGGCTTTGACAATTTAATATGTCAAGAATTTGCTGTAATTTAACATTGACTAACCGGTTGCACGACAACCTGTCAGACGGAGACAATAACAACACCACCTATGTTACAAAATAAATGTCTTCTCACATACAAGGCCAGCGTGCAACACATTTTGTCTAACGTATTTTGCAGGTCTGAAACATACGTTTGCATGACCAAATAAGTAAACATGTAACAGCAACATATGAATGAGATAGTGTGAAAGAAAAAATAGCTGAATGATCAATTGTAAACAGTGTCTTCACTTATTAAAATCTGTCACCAATTGGCTTCGATACATGCTACTACAATAATACGATGCTGCTGTTCAAAACAGATTACAAAAGTGAATGCTAAATGCCTATTACTAAATTGGTTCTTTACATGTCTTTCGGTTGTGGCTGCCCATGTGCCCACATCGACCGCACCTAATCTGACTTAGTTTCTCTCCCCGAGATGGTATTCGATTCTTCTTGGGTCGCCCCGCAGGACGTTTAACTACCGGTGGATATATGATGAAGTCGTCTTCCGAAAAGGGGGGTTTGTCAACTGTTGGTATTGGCTGAATGTATCTAGAATAAGCGGCTTTATACTGATCCACAGTGAAAAAGTGTTCAACAAATGTACTGAAATCCCTTCCACTACTCTGTATTGCAACCACCGCATGTACACATGGAAATCCGTTCAATTGCCACTGGAAGCAAGAACATGAACGCTTGCCAACGTCTACCAACACCGTCGGAAATGAATGGACCTCATATATGTCTTCATTTGACTGGCTAACAATCCATGTGCAACCAGTGGAGTACGCCTCCCTAACATGGCTTTCCATTTTCGGACAAAGTAAACCATTCCAATTAGTAGCCAAAACTTTGTGCTCAGCCCTCATAGTCATTATTTGATTTCTGATTGTATCAACCAACCTTGTGATTGGATAATTACGGGCATCAAGTATCCATTTATTAAACGATTCTGCAGCGTTCGAGGTCATCTCCCCATACCGTCTGCCCATGTTCACATTATGAAAACATAATGAAAATACTATCACATATTGGGTACTTGCAATGTTAGCACATGTAAGTCTCGTACGAACCTGAAATATGCATTGGCCCAATGCTTTGGTGGCATATCTTCCAAGAAATTATTTATTCCAGATCGTCCTGTTCCTTTTAGCTTCTTCCAATGCTGCTGAAACGAAGCCTCGGTTGGAGCATACGGACATTCATGCAACTTCGCCATTAAACCAAAATGTACACGGTTGTTAACCCATCGTAATTTGTCCCTTAAATTCGCTTGGAGATGTTGTAAGCAGTACGCATGGTGTGCATATGGGAATACAGCAGGCAAGGATTCAAGCAGCCCAATATTACGGTCCGATATGAAAGTTAATGTGCGAGCACTACTAACAACCTTTGTCAATTGCTGTAAAAACCAAGTCTAATTTGCAGTTGTTTCAGAGTCAACAATAGCAAAAGCTAATGGGAATAAACCTGGCAGATTCAACAGGTTTACCATTAGATGAAATATTTTTAACAAAGTTTACGTCCACATTAACAATTGTTCATTCTCTCACACTCATTTATTTTACTACAAAAAAAAAATAAATAAATAAAATTTCCAAACTCTAAAACTATTTTCAAAACATATAATTAAATAAATTTTTAAATTTTGTAAACTCTTTTCAAAAAATTATTTTTTAAAATTATTTCTCAAATACAAACCAAATATAGCCTGTGTATTTCAAAATTAATTTTTCAAGTCCAATGTGACCCTATGTTCCACATCAGCAAAATAAAAAACAAAAAATAAGAAATCGTATTTGGGTAAACTTTAATTGTAGAACATAATTCACGTTTTAGTGACGGAATCGAGATTTTAATTTAGGAGGGATAATATTAAGTCAAATATTATAAATATTACTAAACGTACGCATGACAAAAAAAAAGTTTATTATCAAACAAATTGCATATAGATTGAAGACACAAAAATAAAAAAATAAAAAAATTATATATTTTAGTATAAAAGAGACGTTGATAACATTTTTGTTTTCATCAGTACGACTTACACATTTATGATGAAAAATGGGCCAAGTGCTATGAGAATTAGGAAAACTTAATATAAATTTGTCAAACTTGTAGAGTTACTGATTTTTTTTTTTTCTCCCAATATTAAGGAATTTCAGTATAATTTATCCTTTAAAAAAAAAAGAAAATTGAATTAGTGTGCTTAGTTTCAATTTTCTGAATTTAGTTTTCTGAAAATTGAGTTTTTTGATTTTCGTATTTTTTTTTGTTTTGTTTTTAGTGAATATTTTTTAAATTTTAAGCAATTTTTTTTTTACTTTTTTATATACACCTTACTTAGATGTATCTAAATAACAAAATGTTTGTGAAAAAATATTTTAAAAAATTAGTAACTACACAAAAATACAAAAAAAAATGTACTGAATTTTCGTATTTTTTTTTAATATATTTTTGGTATTTAGTGAATTTTTTTTAAAAAAAAATTTCACAAACATTATATTTTTTTAATGTATTTATGTTAGGTGTGTCTTAAAAATTAAAAAAATTACTTAAAATATTAAAAAATTCAATAAAAACAAAAAAAAAAATACAGAAAACGAAAAAATAAATTTAAAAAAAAAGTGAATTCTAAACATTGTTGAGAGGGTATAACATGAATAAGCCCAGTCCAATAGACAGTTGGGCCTGGTCTATGAATACCCCTCCAAAATGATCTTCCTGTGTTATTCACATGAGTTATTCTTTCTTGGGAAAATTACCATGTAGTCCTATGTAGGGGATCTATTTCCCTTCTAATCCCAATTTATTTTTAATAGTTTAATAGGTCCACAGTTTTTTTAGTTTTATACCCAGAGGTCCCGTTTTTTATTTTCGTATTTTTAAATGACTGTGTTACCCTTTGTTTTGAGATCTATATGTACGTGAGAAATCAAATTTTTGCTTCGTTGAAAAAAAGGAAATCAAATCTTCGTCTCCGCGATCTCGATTTCTCTTCGTTGTGGCGATCTCATTGTGCTGTGTGGTCGATCTCATTGTGCTGTGAGGTGGATCTGGTTGTGCGATTTGAATCTGTGTGTACAGGCGATATCTTCGTACGTTGTCTCTCTCTCTCTCTCTCTCTGGTGATAGATATATGTATGTGTATGTATGTATCTGTCGATACATAGATATACATATATATGTATATATATATATATGTCTGTGTGTGTATGTGGTTTGTATTTGTCGATATATATGTATGTATATATATAAGCAAATTTGCGTGATATGTGGTTTGTGTTTGGCGAATTTTGTTTGTTTGATTTTGATTTTGTTGATTTTGTTTGTCGTATAGTGTAATGTGTTTTGAAGTTGTATTTTGGAATTGTGAATTCTGGTGTTTTGGTACTGATATGTTGTAAGTGTATAATTTTGCAGTTTTGGAATTGTAAATTGTGTACTGTTGTTATTGATATGTTGTAACTGCATAATTTTGCAGTTTGGAATCTGTGAACAATTGTTTGTTGGTTTCTGATTTTGTAGTATGGAGCGGTGTTTCATGTTAATGTGCAAATACAGTAATTGTTGTGCTGCTATTAAGATTAGTGACGGATGTAGTTATGATGAAGTTGTTGAGAAAATATGTGCGAAGTTCAAGGAGTTGAGTGTTGGTAACTTTTGTTTGTTTTTCTCTGTTCCTGGATATTCTAATTGTATTGTTGAATGTGATGATGATTTGGGGAATATGCTGTCAATGGTAGGTGGTAGTGGTTGTCATGTTGTTGATGTTATTGTGGGGGATAAGAGAGTTGTGGAGGTTGATGATGGTAATTCTTGTAGGATTGATTCTGTAACTTGTGAGAGTTCTTTTGTGAATGATTGTGATGATGTTGGTGGTTTGTTGCGTAGTTTTTATCCAGAACCAGAGAGAGTTTTGTTGTCTGCTAGTTGGAAGGGGATTATACATAGTGTTGGTCAAGAATTTGAAGGTGGAGTGTCGGGGTTCCGCATTGCATTGGCTAAGTATGCGGTTCAGTGTGGTTTTGCAGTGAATTATTTGAAGAATGATGCAACAAGAGTAACCGCTGAATGTATGATGAAGTCGTCTACGGGTTGTAAATGGTTTGTGCATGGAAGGGTGTTGATGGATTCTGGTGTTTTTTTTTATAATGAAGTTGGATAATGTGCATACTTGTGGGGTTGTTGCTCGTAGATCTTGTAGCAAAATGGTTGGTTCTAGACTTGTGTCTGATATTGTGCAAAATGATATTAGTGATAATCCGTTGACTCGTCCTATTGAAGTTAAAAAAAAGTTGAAGAAGCAATATGGTATAGATGTTTCTTATCGGGTTGCATGGTTAGGAGTTGATAAGGCAAGAGGTGGGTTGTTTGGTGATTTTGCAACTTCTTTTGACCAGCTTTGATGGTACCTTGAGACGGCTATGAGAACGAATCCGGGAAGTGTGTTTGAATTAGATGTGGATGAAAGTAGTGGGTGTTTTCGGAGGTTGTTTGTGGCATTTCATGGATGTTTGTATGGCTTTCAATTTTGTCGTCCGTTGTTGTTTGTTGATGGTACATTTTTGAAGGGGCGTTACAAGGGGCATTTGCTTGCAGCAACATCAAAGGATGGTAATCAAGGTATGTATTTATTTGCAGTTAGTATTGGTTTAGTTTGTCAGTGTGTTATTGTATTGTGAGTCTGCTAATTTTTGTAGTTTCATGTTATTTTGTTTGCAGGTCTGTTTCTTTTGGCTTTTGCGATTGTTGACGCTGAAAATCAAGATAATTGGATGTGGTTCTTAAGTTAGTTGTTGAAGGCTGTTGGTTCAGGCTGGAGATTGACTTTTGTGTCGGACCGTCAACATGGATTGCTAGACGCTCTTTCAGTGGTTTTCCCCAATGCACATCATGCTTATTGCTTGAATCATTTGAAGAGAAATTTGATTGACACATTGGTAAGACTTCGTACTAACTATAAGTTGTGTTTGATGAAAATATTAGTTAAATGTGCTTATGCACCAACGGTTGCTTCTTTCAACATTATATGGAGAAATTGAGACGTATTGCTGAGAATGGTAGAGTTGATAGTATGTTGGATGGTTTGCAAAATGATAAGTGGGCCAATGCATTTTTTAGAGGGAAACGATATGGTGAGATGTCATCTAATGCTGCCGAGTCTTATAATAATTGGATTGGTGGGGCCCGTGAGTTGCCTGTTACTTGTATGGTTGATATGATTAGGGTTCAAATCATGACTCAATTGTCGGATAGAAGAGCTGAATCTAGAAGATGGACTACGAAATTGTGTCCAGTTATGGAAAAGAAGTTGGTGGACTCTTTGGAGCTAGCTAAGTCTTGGGATGTGATTGTTGCTAGTGATAATGTGCTTGAGGTTCATTCTTCTATTTCTTTTTTATGTTGATATTGGTAGACAGACTTGTTCTTGCCATGAATGGCAATTGAATGGTTTTCCTTGTTGTCATGCTGTGCATGCTTTGCATAGTAGTAGTAGTAGAGATGTGTATGGTTTCATTGATCCTTTTTTTCATGTAGATTGTTTTAGAGAGTCATACAAGGAATCTGTTTATCTAGTGCCTTCAAGTGAGAGATTTGACTTTGATGGTGCCAGTAGTTCGGTTATCAAACCTCCTATAACGAAGAAGCAGCCCGGGCGGAACAAGAAGAAGAGGATACCTTCTAGGGGTGAGAATGTGAAGCAAATCAAGTGTGGGAGGTTCTTGAAATATGGGAATCACAATAAGAAGACGTACAAGGCTACTATTTGAGGCGACAATCTATTCTTTTGGATTTGTATTTGAATTTGAGGAATTATGATAATAAAAAATGTGATACTTGGTATTATGGAAGTAATGAATAAAGTTGGTTGAATTGTTTTTTGTTTGTTAATGTGTTCTTTAGTTATTGAAGTTGTTTTGTAACAGTCTGGTTTTATTTTTTATTTTTATGAAATGCAGAGAAGGTTGTTGAAAATTTCTTATTGAAACAGTATAATATGGAAATGCAGTTCATATTTCATATCGAAAAAACTGTATAATTTTGCAGTTTTAAGAATTATTAGAAACAAGCTGATGAGACTGCAAAATTTTGCAGTTTGAAAAATTATTAGAAACAACCTTTACTGTATGAAAATATATGCAACCACAAACAAGTAGACAAACAATCAGAAGAAGAACCACAATAATAATAACAAGAAGAAGAGTAACAACAACATCA